AAAAAAAAAATTTGGGTCGAAGATGATATAAAACCCTAGGTTGACAGTAGCTATAAAAAACATGATTTTCCTTGAAAGTTAAAAAAAAAAAAAAAAAAATAAAAAAAAAAAAAAAAACATTAGAAATAAGCATAAGATTAAAGACCTATGCAATCGCTTTTATAATTTCGTTTGGTGGTAAGCTTAAAGCCATGTGCTTTTTGACTACTAACAAATGAGAGTCCAAAGAAGAAGACCCATCAAAACCCAATTATTCGTTAAACCATCGTCTCAAATCAAAAGATTCTTTGCATTGCGCGCGAGCCACGCAATCTCTAGATTATGGCAGAGAGTAGAGATTGACAATAAGAGTCGATGAGGACCACCTCCATTCTAAATTTAACTATTGATATATATATATACTATATATATTATATAAAATAATTTTAAATTTAAATATAAATATAATTTTAAAATTTAAAGACTTATAAGTTGGTTTTATTTTCATATAAAATTGATCTTCTAATAGATAAGTCCTTTTTTAAATAAACTTAATTACCAAAACCTTTTAAATTCAATGTTTTTATTTTTTGAAAAAAAAATTCAATTTTTTTGGTTATTAAATTTTATCATAAAATTTTTAATTTTGATAATTTCATGCAACATCTTTAAATTTTATATATCACAAATTTAATTTCATAAGTGTGATTATATCTAAAATTATATACATATATGAATTTGAATCATTTTTAGTCGAGAATATACAATATTAGGATCTATTTATTTCCGTAGAATAATTTACAGGAAAATAATTTACAGGAAAATACTTTTCACAATTTTCAAAATACTTTTCACAATTTTTCGTTGTTTGGACGCTTAAGAAAATAAGTCAACAGAAAATATTTTTCTAGTAAAAAAAAAATTAAATTATTTTTTAAGAAAAATAACTTTCTATTTTCGAAAGAGTAAAACATTTTTTCGAATATTAATAAGCTTTATAAATCTATATTTTTTAAATTTATTGATCTTCCTCTGCCTCTCTGAATGGGATCCCATTAGCACTAAGCTTGTAAGTAGGGTGGTTGGTGGAATATTATAAGAAATAGAATAATGGTTGCTAGCTTCGTAGCATCACTCACAATCATTAGTTTGATCTGCAATAATCATTCAATCTTATATTATTACATTTTATAAATGTGTTTAATATTCTAGTTTAAGGAATAATATCAATTTGTAATCTTTATTATACTGTTTCCTCTTTATCTCAAAACATTAACCTCGTCATTTTGATTCTCTCTCTGCTGTATTAACCTTGGTCCACCATGCCTGCCAGCCATGTGATTATGCAAAGGATGTCTTTGACTGATCCTATTCCTTTCTTCTACATTTTCCTCTACAGAGATGGTGATGCTCTCTCTCTCTCTCTCAATGTGAACTCCACAACCTTTTTTTTTTTTTTTTTTTTTTTTTTTTTTTTTTTTATTCTCCTTTTTTTTTTTTTTTTTTTTTTAATTCTCCTCAACCCTTTTCCCATTTCTTTATGTTGCAACTTTGTTTGTTGTATAATGCACAAAAGGAGTCATTCACGTGCAATTCATATGGGTAGTAATATTCATTCAATCCAAAATATACACCTTCAATTATCTCCCACCTATCCAACATTTATGGATACCAAGACCTAGCTTAGTGATAAAATGTATATAGTCTGATAATAGATTCATTCCATTCTCCAATGCTTACCAAAAAAAAAAAAACTAAGCAACATTTATGATTTGGTCTGCCAATCAAATATATTCTGATTGATTTTTTTTACTAACATGAAGAGTGAAAAATGCAGGCTTAAATCATAATTATAAAAATTTTCACAATTTCAGTGAGTTTGAGAGAAAGTCTACCTATTAAATATATACTTTATAAATATACATATTTTAGTCATTTTTATCCCGCAATAATTATTAATCTCTGGAAGAAAAATATTCTCAAGAAATGACTTAGTTTTATTATAATTGTAATATTAATTAATAATTATTTTCTAGGCGTTGGAGCATCAGCTTTCATTATAACGTTGTAAGTCGCTTTTATATGTGACGCGTTTGGTCGTGGGACATGAAAATATAAGATTTTAGTATCTGGTTGAGACATGAATCTTATATTCTGTTCCACCTTAAGGGGCATTTAGTTATCCGAATTCAATATTTTTGTGAAAAAATTTATTTTTCTAAGAAATTAAATTTCCAATAAAAATTATTTAAGAAGGTTGAATTATCATCTAACAATTTTAGAGAAGTAAGATAACATACACACATATATGCAACAAAAAAATTTATAATAACCAATTAAGATGAAATATAGATATTGTTTAAAAACTACTTAATAAATATAACTTACTAATATATAATCTCCTAAAATAAAATATAATTTTAATTATGGTAAGTAATATTATGTAAAAAAAGTTATACTTGACTAAATATTTAAAATTAAGATATTAATATTATTTTATTTTTGAAAATAAAACCTTTTATATACTATTTTATTTGTTGAATTTTTCCAATTTTATTTAGGAGATCATCCATTTGGTAGGTTATACTCTATCTTAGTAATGTTTTAGAAATTTCATATTAATACCTATGTATATAATTATGTTATCTTTGTAGATTAAGTAAATATTTAAACTTTCCTTCCAAAAAAAAAAAAAAAGAAAATATATATATAAATTATGTTATCTTTGTAGATTAAGCTAAATATTTAAACTTCTCTTCCAAAAAAAAAAAAAAGTACAATATGATAAACTATGAGGAAGTAAGGGCATTTTATTAATTTATCTATGCTTATTTTTAATTTTTCCACAATTTAACAAACATAATTACACTTTGTTGAAAACTTTTAATTGATCAACCCGACACAAGAAATCCAATTCCCTATGTTACTTTCTGCCCAATTTACTATTTCTTAACAAAGTAAATTTTGTAATATACGAAATATTGAATTCGTTAGTTAACACAACACCTTTCCAAAAAAAAAAAAAAAAGTAAATATGTAAACTATGAGGGAGTAAGGGCAATAATATAATTTATTATGTTATTTTAATTTTCCACAATTTAACAAAACATAATTACCTTTGTTGAAAATTTTTTATTATCAACCGAACAAGAAATCCAAATTCCTATAGTTACTTTCTGCAATTTTTACTTTTCTAAAAAGTAAATTTGTATATAGAAATATTGAATTCCGTTAGTTAACCAAACACCTTTTTTATGTTCTAATACCACGTTTTTCTTTCTTTACAACATCTTTGCTTTTTTTTATAAATTACAAAATTTATTTTTGATAAAGTTACTTATTTTTCATTATATTTTCTATTTATATAAATCTAGTATGATTTTATTTATTTAAATTATTTAAGTATCAAAATCATTTCTATTAAAATTTATTTATTTTTTCCGTTGTCTTTTCCATCTACGTAAATATTACATAACTTAATTCACTCCCTCAACTCAAACTCTAAACAGTAAATTAACATTAATGTTTTCACTATGCTATATAAAAATTATCACTCTATAAAGCCTCAATACATGTCAATGATTATTGCACAAAATTAGCAATTATCGGAACAAAATTTAGTATAGCTGCTCTCAATCTTCAACCATTAATAATAAACGAGAGAATTGATAATTAGAAGTGATTTTTAATATCATCCATTAGCAGGAAAGCAAATACAACTGTATCTAAAAAACGAATAGCTTTAAAATAATAATAATAATAATAATGAATTATTTTCTGTTCCTAGAAAATAAAAAATTAAGAATATACAACTACACAGAAACGGATCCTCATTTGTTGTCCAGATATTTATTTTATAGGTGTTTATTGATTACCAAAATTCAACTCTCTTATAAAAAATTACTTTATTAGGAAAAAAATTTTTAGAAAAACAACCTCAAACATGTCGAGTCATCATGTTTGGATGGGAATGAAATATTTTCATTAAAGTAAGATAATTAAAAGTGTTAATATCATTTTATTTTCTTGTAAGAATTCAATTTTCCTACCCATTAAGAAGAGAGAAAGTGGTAAAGTAATTCATGAATTGTATTTTCCTGAAAATGTATTACGCATATACCAATCAAACACTCAAATCTTACTTTTCCATAAAATTCTAGCAACTGAATGCGCCAAATAAAAGGATGAATTTTCATAGGGATATTAGAACTCCATAACCAAACACCACCTTATTAATTTGTTAAAATTTGAAAAAAAATCATGTCTCTTTTCATTTGATTAAGTCAATTTCCCTGAGCACCCAAAACACTAGAAAAAAAAAAAGAGGAGATTTTTTGAATGAACAGTAATTTTGTGCATGAAACAAATGGAACATTGAATTTCATTACACTTTAGTAAGTTTCATTTTAAAATTCACTGAACGTTAATTCTCAAACATTTAAAATCTGAGTGCCCCTTGGGCCCTGAAATATGAACTAAGATAAGTAACTTTCAAACGATAAATACAAAAATACACAATAAATCAATTGAAACAATAAGAATGAATATTTAGATATAAATCTATTAGTATTGAAGTCCTTGCTTCAAGTCATAATCCCACATGAAGAAAGGGAAAGACTTGCTCACACCAGGTCTATACACCCAGTAAAATCTAATAATGACTATTGACGCAAATAAATGTTCAAGTATATTTTCGCTAGAAAAAAAAGAACAAAATAGTAATAAAAAGTTATAATTTTTTTAAATGACAATCAACTATTGACTAGGTATATAAAAAAATGAATATACTATTAGTTAGATGTATGAGGAATCAATATATGTTGGATGTAATTTGCCAAGAAATATCACTGGAATTGTCAATTGAGAAAGAAAGCTTATATCGACGTCATTGGTTACTTGATGAGGTTGGACGGTGCAAGGATTAAAAAGAAATTTTCTCGTTGAATCTAATCCATGATTCACTTGTCTCACCATTATAGCTAAAGACAATAATTAGACATTTGTTCACGCCTTCCATAAACTAGAAAGAAGAACATAACGTTTTGTATTATATACTTAGAGCAATAACAATAACAATAACAATAACAATAACAATAATAATAATAATAATAATAATAATAATAAGAGCGTGCTATATATTTTGCTAACCTAACGTGTTGGCAAACAGACAAGGCTCATGCAAGACAAGCCTAAGAAGGACAAAAGCTGCAAAGCTGACGTGTTCGGCATATTGAGGGACCCTAAATTAGTAAAATTTGGAAATGGAACCTGAAAGCTTTAATACGTGACAAACAAATAGAACGTATGAGTTTTTTTTCTCCTTCCTTTTCAGCCTTTTTAGGAAGAATAAATCTAAATGTATAGTTCCAAATTATGGAGCAGACAATTTTTGCAAGTTGAACCCCTTATAAAAGAGTGATGGCCAATCTAATAATATGCATGTATCAGAGTTACAACCTTTTCTACTGTAGGGGTCTCTTTTTCCTTTTCTTTTCTTTCCAAACACAGAACATAGTCACGGTACACAAATATGCAGAGAGAGGAGAGGGGAACGGCTAAAGAAAAAAGGGAAAAAACCCCACAATTATAGAACATACCAGTGATTTGTACTGCCCCATAGTCAAGATATTTTATATATTCTCAGACATCATCGGCCTTGAAAAAAAGAATCTCTACACCTGCAAGTTTCAACAAATTAACAGTGATAAAAGGCAAGATAACAACGTAATCTCTTAAACCATATATTTTCTTGACACCTATATCATAATGGGGTCAATGGTGACAGCCACACCAATTAAAGTAAACATTTCTTTCAGCAATGCCCCTTGAACAAAGTATAAAGACACAGCCATTGCACCGAAATCAATTATAGAACTGCTTATTTTGTGTCATTTCCTAGCTGGCGAAGAAGAGGCCGAATTTCTAACAAATGATTGATTATTTGGTAGATCTTGACTCAGTTCCAACAAAGTAATTCATGTGACTTTAAAACCTTACAAAAAATGTGATTCTAGTTTGCAAAAGTACTATACGTTGTACAGTAGTCATATGGCTACAAATCTGACCTAATTAACTAAGAAAGAATAATGCTTAGAAAAAAAGGGGCAAAAAAGATAGCTTTGGACAAGAGTCATCAGATCTTATTTTTAAAATCTATTAGAAACAAATATTGATAATTTGATTAAATAAACATGTGTTAGAACTAAAGACAAAAGAGTTTAAGTTGATAAAACATCCTCTGTTGCGCACATGTTCCAACATGACAGTTCATGTTGCCTCCAGTTGAAGCTGCTGACGAATCTTCATTCAAGTTTCCTTCTGACCAGTCCTTTGAAGAAGTCAAAGCTGTTGCCATATGATAAACAAGATTGTTATTACTTCCATTAAGAAGACAATCAGGCTAAGGCTATGTAGAACCAAAATAACCAAATGTAAAATCATATGGAAATAATTGCTAATCTATACAGGCATGTGATAACTAAAGAGAATATAAGAGCTGAAGATAGAAACAAGTAGAATCATGTTCTGATAGTTGGTTGGTGACCAGAAAAATATAGAAAGCTGCAAGGAAGTTGCCAATAAATTCTTATATTAATACTGCTCACCAAGTGGCTGGGCTACAGGCATTGGGTTGAGTGAAGTTATGTCATTAATTGATGCATATGGGCCCAATATAAATACTTAAAAGAGGAAAAATAAAATAGAAGAGCTCAATACATATTTTTCCACATATAGGCTACAGCTACAACAAAATACAGGGGAAGCTACATTAATGACTCAAAATGAATTAAAAGATAATAGAGAGCCAAATCTTATTAGAGGAGAAATTTGGACACGCCACTGGATAATACACAAATGCCCATATTAGATGTTGCAAAAGCAAACTTAATAGCCTTTTCTAGAGAGCAAAATTTGAGATATGAATAATGACCAAGCATGAATTTTATAATTGAAGTCTTGAAGACATTTTATAGCCCTTCAGTGACATTGGTCATGTTAGAATAACTGCTAATAGAGCATCTAACTGGTTAGCATAAGAATGTAGAACCTCTTTTTGTTTCCTCAACTAGCTAACTAACGCTCCAAAATGATCTGGAGCTTTATTCTGTATTCTGATGCCTTTTGGACATTTCCAGTGATGAAATTTCATTGCTGTACAGAAAAAGGAAAAGGTAAAAAGGTCTAGAATCCCTTCCCTGTTCATAAAACCTCAAAATCTGTAGCACAAACACGCCCCGCCCCGCGTGCCCCCTGCTTACAGAACAAAGACGAAAGGTAAAAAGGTTTTAAGACACCTTCCCTGTTCATTAAAACCTCAAAAATCTGTCGCACACAAAACGCCCCGCCCCGACGATTGCCCCCCCCCCCCCCCCCCCCCCCCCCCCCCCCCCGCCCCCCCCCCCCCCCCCCCCCCCCCCCAAAAAAATAAAAAAAGACCCCCCCCCCCCCCCCCAAAAAAAATAAAAAAAGAGGAAAGAATCCTTTCAGGTACATAGAAAAGAACTAAAAATGAAAATACATAATCCAGAAAATGTATTATTTGTGGTGTTTCTCAAAAATTGGACTCTGGAAGTACAGATCAGAAACAATCTGCAAATATAGACATCCAAGCACATATTCCTCAATGCTGTCAACAAACATCATAATACCATAATGTTTAACAAAATCCAAGGATGAATTTAAAGACGAGGATTATCCATCCCAATAATGCAATAATTCATAGATCCAAGGCAAAAGACAATAAGACTCAAGAACTCATCAATAATGAGAAAGCAATCAATGAAGTTCTTATGAAATGAAAATGAACATTCAAGGGTTTATAAGGTAGTATTTATCGTATTTAAGGTTTACCTTGAGAAACATTAGCCCAAGTTTCTCTCCTATATTGTCATGGATGATCAACTACCAATTCTTTTATTTATTTATTTATTTATTTTTTGTAACTTCAACTGAAAATTTTTCCACATGCACCAGCACATGGTTTGAGCTACAACTGATGAGATCAAGGATGGTTGGAACTTGCAATTCAATTGTGATTCCAAGAATAACAGATCTATACAAAACACAAAAAGAACCAAATATTGCAACCTCCATGACCCACCAATTTGGAAGTCCTTTTTGAAGACAATCAACGTCAATAAGATGCATCAGAGAAACTACTTTCAGTGGTGCAAGTGCAACTAGGTGAGCAATGGAGGCCTTTGAGATGCTCCTCATGTTATTGAGGAAAAAGCTGAAGAAATATTCGAGACTCTGTTCCAGTGGCTTATTTTACCAGGCACCTAATAGATATAAAAGCCCCCAGAAGGTAAAGGGAAAGTGATGATGGTATCCGACTACACCATAGTGCATGTTGCATGATTAAATTTATGCATAGCATAGTGCCGAATTGAAGAACCAGCTGTGCTCAAATCATTTTTCCAATATCTATTCTTACAGGTCCTCCTCAGCCTCTACGAAAAGAAAGGAGTAGAATAACTTTTGTGTGGCAGCAATTAACTTTAGTTAATGAGAGCCTTTACCAGTTCTCCCTGCATAACCCAAGATTGAGGTATCCATATAAACCTGTTGGACTTTATTCAACAAACCCTTTTCCTTTTCCCAAGGGAAAAAAGAAATTGACATGTCAACCATCATAGGACTCTCAGAATTTATTGTGGCTCCAAAGTAAAATATAGAAACCATACAAGCATTATGTAATGTGCTAGATTCTTATTTGGTAAATACTCTTCATGCATAGCTCAGCATTGCAAAATCATTCCTCTCATATGCAACTGGAAATTATTAAGATAGCAACTGGAAATTATGTCTTCAATAATAAAGTAACACTCTACCTATTCCCATCAGGATGAAGCTCACACATTTGGTCGTCTTCCCCAATAGCTAATAAATACCCTGAAGATGTCAAACCCTGCAAATAAAAGAATGAACTGATTTTAAGAACGCACTATTTAAAAGAACGCACTATTTCAAGTTTAATTTTAAAAGAACGCACTCTTTCAAGTTCTAGCACCAGCAGCATGATACCCCAGTTATAGATTT